CTTTCCCTTGAATTGCTTGTCCTCTCTTCTTCTCCTCACTTCATTTCTTGGCATTTTAGTTCTCATCCTGAACATATTCTGCTGAGCATGCCTGAACTAATAAGCCTGAGAAGGGCTGAAAGGAGCAGCTAGAAAATTTGAACAGGAAGAACATTTTGAAACACCCATTTCAGTGTTTGGAAGAGAGCAGAAGGATAAAGAAGAATAACAACCTGTGGATTTTAGACAGCAATAATCATCTGACCAAGAGTCTCAAAGGAAGTGTTGGTCTGGGATTACTTGTTGGGCTGTTTAGAAATTATTGTCCTGTTATTGTCATCTTTCACAATATGTGTGAATTGTGGCAAGAGATTGTAGAAAGACAGCATCAGTCACTGCAGACCTCACTTACAAATACAAGGCACACAGCAAAATCTGCTACATGAACCTGGCCTCTGATTACCGAGGATTAATGACTGTTGCTAAAACACATCAGTATCTTATGCTGTATTAAAACATCCTCTTGCTGCATTCGCTGTCATAAATCATAGAATCATCTAGGTTGGAAAAGACCTTGAAGATCATCAAGTCCAACCATTAACCTAACCCTGCCATCCCACCACTAAACCATGTCCCTAAGCACCTCTCTGCCCGGCTTTTAAATACCTCCAGGGATGGGGACTCGACCACTTCCCTGAGCAGCCTGTTCCAATGCTTGACAACCCTTTCGGTGAAAAAGTTTTTCCTAATGTCCAACCTAAACCTGCCCTGGTGCACTTGAGGCCATTTCCCCTTGTCCTATCTCCCGTTACCTGAAAGAAGAGACCAGCGTAACCATGAAAGCATGCTTCCTTCTATTACAGCAGTCCTCAGCTGCTGCCCTGACCCTTTGGTGCTGGACATCGTTGGGCTGACTGGCAGCAGGCTACTGGTGCTATTGGTCTGGCCAAAGAACTGGCTTTACACTGAGGGAGTCTTTGATCAGAGGTGCATAGCTGGCTTTTGCATCTCCTGCCCTTCTTAGCTGCATAAGCTGTGATGTTGCTGTAGCTGAAGGTCTGGAATTAATCTAGAAGACACAGCTTTAGTTTTCAGAAATGCTAGTGATTTGGCAAAGTTCAAGAGCTGAATGTCCAACATGGATCTACTTTCAAAGGGACCTATTTTTCAGGAAATGTGGCACTTTCTAAGGTTTCTAAAGCTAAGCCTGATGGCTTGGAGTCTGTCAGGTTTTGAAACTCTTGGCTGCTTTCTTTAAAAAAACACTTTAAACTATTCAGGATACAATAAAAAATACAAGCACATTTTGCACACAGCAGAAGTACGGCAGCCTGTCCTAATGTGAGTGTTACCTGCACATTCTGGGTTGTCTTCATTGAAATTGATGGCAAAATCATGAGACACCTGCAGATAAATGGAAAGAAGAGAAGAACACTGTAGTCAGAAAAATTATTCCAAGAGGACTTGCGGTTAAACACCCTTTACATTATTTCTCTGTTAAACCAGAGACCTTTCAAGCTTTCAGCCATTAAGTGTGAAATACAGTCCCAGCTGGAACTCCCTGCAGAAACAAAGTAACAAAACTGGAATCAAACTTGTCAATAACAACAACAAAACCAAGACAAATTAGCATGAAGAAAACCCACCAAAGTACATGAGAAATCACATAAATATGGTGTCAGGATTGGGCTATCAATGCCAGCCGCAGAAGAGGGATCTATCGCTGAGAAGATTTAAATGCCAGCTCTCCCTAGCTCAGCATCTTAGATTGCAGGTGAGAGAAGGGCTGTGATACAGCGCTGACAGCACAAGCTCAGCCCCCTACTGAATACTGCACTCCTGTGGGTGAATGGTTCCTCATCTGAAGGCCATGGGATTACTGGGAAAATAATTTATTCCCCAAAGAGATCAAGGAAGTCATCCAGACCCACGGTGAAATAATAATGTAAGAAATGTAAGGAGCCTAACCTGGTTAAGAAATTGGATTAGGCTGGGGGAAATTAATAAGAAGAAATGTGAAGACTTGTTTTTCTCTCAAATTTAGTGAATATCCCATTCTGCCGGTCTGTCTCTCTCTCAATCTGTTGGTAATAAAATACCTCAGAGCTATTTTCTAAGAGAAATGATTGTGAATATGAAAAAGTTGCTGATTTTCTAGTAAAACGATGTATTGTATCTTTAGTGGCTTGGGAAAATAATACAAGACTTCTGTATGCGCAAATAGCGCAAGGCAATGTAAGTCTAAGGTTCCAGGCTTCCTCTGTCTGTCTGTCACACAGACATCTGCATCCACAGCACAAACCTGTTGGGCCTGAAACTTTCTTCAGGTGCCCTTTTGTGCTTTTAAGGTTTGTTCTTGCCTGCATTTTTTTTCCAGGTTCCTTTTTGCTCCTTTCTTTGATCACTGAGAAACCTTGATTCCTTTTAATTTCTTCAGCTCTGGAGCTCAGTCTCTTAATTCTCTTGATTGTCTTCAATTGTCTTGAATGAAGCCCAACTTTTGTCTTGTATTGCACAACATATAAATAGATAGATAGATAGATAGATAGATAGATAGATAAAGAAAAAGTTATATTGGTTTGCAAAAAGTGGATATGGCCGAGAGTTAAGCAGGAGACTTGCAAAATTTAATGTTGAATTTAGGTATATCATCCCAGATACATGAAGGCATTTATATAGCAAACTCCAATTACACATCTTTGAGACTTTATAGATCTCTGGGGAACCTTCAGAAATGCCAACAGCCCTAGGCATATGGAAAGCAACCTGTTTACTCCCTGTGCAATGGAACCTGGATTATTTGCAGAAAGAGATTTGTTTGTTGGATATGGCTGGTTTATTTGCTAATTTAGATGACTTCACAGCACAGCACAGAAATTGGTCTACGACTAACAGACCAATAGATCAAATATGTGATTATAGAGAAGCTTCTGTAAAGCAACGTGGTATAAGTTGGCTAATTACTGCCAAAGAGAGCTTCTCACAGAGAAATCTAATTTCCCCATCATATGCTGGCCTTGCTCACCAGAGTGATGCCTACCATTACTTATTAAGAGGCTAAATAAAGCAGGACTTCTACCATGATGGGAAAGGACTGAAACAAAAACTCAGTGAAGAATCCGCAGCCAGCTCAGCCCAGCCAGGACTTTGCTATGTCTGCACCAAGCATCAGTTGCCTCTTACACAGGGTTTTACGTGGGCCATTCAGGCTGCCCTACTCGGCCACAGAAGGTAATGCAGAAAGTCACGACGCATGTTCCTTGCTGAGCAGGCACAGAAGAGCAGGGCTGTCAGATACGCTTCAGAGGTGCTCCAGAGCCCTTCTGTCCGGCTGCTCTGCGCGTCTCCTGGCACGCTTTGCCCAGCTGGTACCTGCCAGTCTCGTGACCAGCTGCAGGCCAAAGGTAATTGCAGCTGTCAAGAACAGTTACGTGCTTTCACTGACGATTTTTTTGTTGTTCAATAGCCTTTCTTCTTCCTTTAGGCTTTCTGTGTTTTGTACTAACTGCATCTCAAGAGCAAGAAGGATGGCGATGCATGTTTATGTATTGCAGGCTGATTCTTCCAACACTGTGCCTCTTCAGTGATTTTATTTCTTTATTCCAAATGCATTTGAAATTATAGCTAAAAGAGTATCACAATTCTTTTCCAGAGCTATGAATACAGTACTTTAATCTCACATGCAAGCATGGGCTGGATGCTTTTGTTGCTATACCTCTTTCGGGATCACACTATGTAAACAATTTATCTGGTTCAGAGATACGGCACCCAGGCTATTATTTAAGAAAAATGTAGACAACGGTTCAGGCCAGTAAGGAAAGCCCAAGTCTAGTCAGTGTGCACAATGATCCAACAAATCCTGCTGCCTGAGCAATGGCTGCTATCCTTCCAAAGCAAGTCCCTCATACACTGTCATCCTGATTCACCAAGAACGGTGTTAAAATGTATCCTGAAGGCAAAACAGGAAACACAACAAACATGCAGAAGTATTGGGTTGTTTCCTATGCTCTCTGAATAATATATCACAATTTAAACAAGGTTTAAGTATAATGAGAAGGAGAGAAGTTCTCTGAGCACCTCAGTGATGGCTCACAAAGAGGAAACCATCACCCGAGGGAAGCCAACAGCATCTATTTTTAAAGCAGACTTTCTCCAAATACTCAGAACTCATTCTCCACTCAGGTAAGTAAAACCAGCTGTGCTTCAATCTGCCCCTATGCTGTCTCCCCTGTGGTGGCCAGAATTCAAGAGGGTCCAAAGCCAGCAGAGACTTCAGGCACATGACATGTACTGAAAGCCTTACTGAACCTGAGAGGGCTCCAGGTAAAGCCCACCCATGCCAAAAGGTGGTTTGTATCAAACATTCAATGCTTTTGTTTTCAAAGTGCAAGTTTATGAGCCTCCCTCCTTTTTTTTTTTTTTTTTTTTTTAATTAAATGCAACGGCTTTTGTGACTGAAAGGCAAACTATGCTGATGACAGAGGACCAAAAGCTGGTATACTAAATGGCATCTTTCTGATATTGAAAGACACAGCCCTTGTGCACTCCCAGAACTGATAAACTAATGGGGAAAAGGAGGCAAAATTGTGAACGTCTAAGATGCTGAAGACTGGGAAATCCTCAGGGGAAACAAGACCCTTGGCTGTTCAGAAGCAAGCATGTTTATATAATCCATGCGTGGTTTGTATGACAAACATTTCCTAACAGTCAGGAAATTCTGCAATATGTCAAGCCATGCAAACACAGAATAACTGCTTTACATTAGTACCCGGCACAGAGAACTTTTTGCAAAGAACTGCAGACCGTGGTTTGTGGTGGAAACCATCCTCACAATAAGGAATGTCCTCACAGAACCGTGACTGTGTCACGGACCCTGGATTTAGTTTTGAGTATGTAGCTGACCCTCTGCTTAGCCCTCCTCCTCTCTCTTCACTTCAATCCATAAAATCAATCCATAAAAGGAAAGGAGAGGGAAATTCTGGAGTGCAGAGGTGATTACACATGATCAGCCTGGCATTACCTGCATTGCTGCACAAAACGCTACTCAAAGCCTCTAACTAAGGACATTTACTCACACACAGCTGTGTATTATTTTTTTCCCTCTGCAGGAATCTAGATAAATTATTTAGCAGATACCATCACGGATGTGGGGTTATTGAAACACAGCTGTCCAGGAACTTCTTGCACCAGGAACATACTATTTCTCAGGTAATTTCTTCAGGTTTTTAACAAGCAAAATAAGTAGCTCTACCGTACATCACAATGTAGATTATGACAACAGCATTTCTGAGGATACATCAACTAAATAAGCAGTCTAAAATATTTTTGCTAAGGCAGATTACTTTTTTTGGCAGTGCACAGTGCCTGCATTGCCTGTGCATACCCAGTGACAAGCACCTGCATACAGAAAGGCAGTTGCCCATCAATGTGATGGTGCCTGTGAGACTCCTGCAAGAATCATAACCATACTTCCAGATGCTTCCACATGCTTATGATCCGTTCAGTAGAGACGTCACCTTGATTTAATGTAGCAGATAACTTACATATTGGGATGTAATGAAATTCATCCTCATAGCATGGCCCTTGCTAAATAGGTGTCTAATTAAGGCTGAAAGGAAAGGAGAATTTCCTAATTCATGAGAATTTTGGAAATTTCTTTAAAAAAAAAGTCTTCTGGACTTAGATGGAAACATCAAAACACAAACAAAACCCCTACCTTGGAATCTGACAAATAATAAAACCCTACAGAATCATAAAGCAAATTTCTGGAAAGCTTCTGGACTACATAAAGGCATTTTATTTAAGTTGCATCAAAACATGTTATTCTATTTTGGCCTCCACATTTTTTAAAACCCCTTTTACTCTAATGGAACTTCCATTTTTTAAGTAAAAAGCTGCTTTGACTCAGAAACCATGTTTTTAATTTATTTTTCAAATGCTGAGTATGAATGCCTCCATCCTGAAAATCAGTAAATTTTTTTTTCCCTCTCTAGATTGTTGACCTCATTTAAATTAACCTCCCTCTCCAAGATAGCTCCAGTTTTCCAGAAGCCTCTATGCTGATGGTACTGGGACTACTTGACAAACAATCTGACAAATTCAGCCATGTTTAGGAATGCTTTCTTACTAATTTAAATAGAGATGTCAGAAGTCCATGAACAATAGATGCATACAAGCGTAAATGCTGAGATGCACAATGTTGAGCACTTATCTGTGAAAAAATTGAACACTATTAAGCCACTGCCAGTCTGAAAATTAAATATGGAATGCCTGCATGTTTTGCAAAAGCTTAAGGCACTAACAAATTTAAGAAACCATTGCTCAAAAGCTATTATTTTCAGAATGCTCATTAATCAAATAGTTTGGGAGCTGGACAGCTTGCGTCTCTTGCTAAGACCACATTG